GTGGCAGGCTGGGCACTTTGCCCGCTGGGTGACAGAAGAAAGCAGAAGGGTGCTGGGCATGCAGGATGCAGCTCGCCTCCTCTTCCTCCTCCTTCCTCTTGCTGAGAGCAGAGCTGGCTGTAGTGGGAGGGAGCTTCTGGCTGAGACAGCTTATTTTAACCACTTGATCATGATCGAGGATTTAATTTTATCCCCTTCCCTGCCTGGCTGTGATTGTGTTTAGAGTCTACAGCACACGGGGAGCAGGAGGGTCCCCAGAAGGCAGAGCTGCTGTGCCCAAGCTTTGTCCTCTCAGCTCCACCACCTGGGGAAGGCCAAGGGACACCGAAGCAGTAAACACCCTTCCCCCACAGGAGGCAAAGCCTCTTAAGGGAGACAGAGGCTCTGCCGTGGTGGGGAAGACAGCTTGGTGTCTACTCACGGATCATCCCAGCTTGTCTGTGCCCATCAGAAAGCGTTTAATAGGCACCTAATTGGACCTGGGCAGGGCTCTTCCCCAAGGCCTGCAGACAAGTCTGTGTTCTGTGTGGCTTAGGGGCAGGTGGGGGTGGACGGACACCTGCCAGGGTGACTTCTGGTGACCATATGCCCTGACCACCACTGCAAGCAGGTCCTACTGCTGAGCATGTCCTACGCATGCTGACACTCTTCCTCCGCAGCAGCCTTGTGGGACGCTTCCCTTCATCACCAGAGCTCTCCCTCTAAGCCACGTGTCCCCAGACCCCGGCTGTGTGAACACAGAGATTTATTCTGTGGGAGCAAACAGTGTTCTAGGTCCAAGAGGCTTAAAGTGGAAGAGAAATTTCTGGAAAAACCAGCCTAGCTTATTGGTGCCCTGCCATGTCTGGACTGTGTGATCACTAAGAAAGCAGTCCAGAGGGATGCCCAGGCCAGGCCAGGAACACACTGACGTCAGCCCTTCCTGAGGCCGGCGTGTGCAGAGGTGTGACATACAGCGCCTACGAGCCGTGCTGTCAAGACTGGGAGATCCAAGATCCACATGTCTTTATCTGTTTTCCATTGCCATATAAGAATTCCTGAGAACGGGCAAGCTAGAAAGAAGCTGATTTGGCTCATGGCTTTGCAGGCTGTGAAGTCCAAAGGCATGGCATGGGTGTCTCATGGAGGCTTTCCTGCTGCATTGTGCCATGTGGACAGCAACACTTGGCGATGCAGAGTAAGCCAGGCACGCTCTCTTTCTCTGATAAAGGCCCCGGTGTTGTCCCACCCTATGACATCATCCAATCCTAGTGACTTCTGCCCCCCTCTAGATATCGTGGACATGTGAATTTAGAGACTGAGTTGTAAACATACAAACTTTAGAGGCCGCACTTAAATTGTAAGATATCTGTGAATGTTCACCTTCTCTGGCTGAAAGCAAGGGCAGGGTGTGGGAAGGCTGGGGGTTTCTGGGTCTAACAGTTACCTCCTAGGGCTGTGCAGGGTCTGTGGGGCTCCCACAGGTGTGTAAACAGAACCTTCTTCTCCTCCTTACAAGAGGCCCAGGTGGAGGCTGGAAGGGCGGGGCCTGCCAACAAGCCCATAGCTCTCCTGACTTCCCTGCCCTGAAGGATGGGTCCTGGTGGAAAGTATCCTGGTTGCCCAGGTGGAGGCAAGACACTAGTTGTTACTAAGACACATGTGAGGGCTCAAAATGTGGCTGTATTGGCAGAGTGTTGGCCTAGCATGAGTGACACTGCTGTTTTATCCCCAGCACTACATAAACTCCGCCCACACTTGTAATTCTAATACACAAGAAGTTGAGGCAGGAGGATGAGAAATTCAAGGCTATCCTTCGATATATATTGTGAAGCCAGCCTGGGATCAGTGAGACCCTGTCTTGTTTTGATTTTATGTGCGTGGATATTCTGCCTGCATGCCTAGATATAATTACCAAATGCAAGCCTGGTGTGATAGATCCCAAGGAAGTGGAGTAACAGACATTGTAAGCTGCCATGTGGGTGCTGGGAATTGAACCCAGGTCCTAAAGCAGCCAGTGCTCTTAACTGCTGAGCCATCTCTCCAGCCCCTCCCCCTTAAAGCATTTATTTCACTGACTTCACCTCCTAAACACCCAAAATGTCCACCAGAATTATCACCTTATTTCAAAGAACAGCACAGGAGGCAAGTAATTCCTAAGTGGCACCCCCATAGTCTGAGCCTAGTTCATCCTGTGGAAAGGTGCTGGGGGGGTGGTGCTCGTAGGACTGCTGGGGGTGTAGGTGGTGCTGAGGGCCCCTGGGGTCCAGAGCTTCCCAGTCCAGGAAGTCGGCTTCTGCCTCCATCAACTGGTGCCACAGAAGGGAAGATTTCTCTGACAAAGACCTGGACAAAGCAAAGGGCCCCGGTAAAGGGTGAGAGCGGCCCGGATGCTCACAGCGGCTGCTCTCCTACCGGCCAGTGAAACACCGAATTCATTCCCCACCGCCTCCACTCTGGGAACGGGAGACACCAGCAAAGGAAGGGTGTGCCGCCTCCCTGCCCTCCAGGTTCCTAAGCCGCTCCAGGCTGTCTGCACACCACACCCCGTCTTCACCCCAATCCTGACCTCGAGCTCATTATCAGCAGCAAGCATCTGTGCCCAGGAAGGCAGACCGCTGAGGCTGAGGGTGCCTGCTGTGTGCGGCCAGGGGCCCTGGAAGACCCTTCTACTTGCCTGCTCAAGTACCTGACTCATTTTAAGTGACCCTCTTCCTTTTACAGACTTAGTGGGTTAGACAGCTCAGGTGAATGATTGGCAGCTCCACCCAAGCTCTGCTAGAGGCTGGACCAGAGCCAGCCAGTCCCTCCTTCTGATCCATTAACTGGATAAACTACAAGGGTGGCTCAGGGGCTTAGAAGAGCGGGATGACTTAAGAGTCTATATTTTTACAGTCTGAGCCCTGGACCAGACGCCTCTTATGTAAGCTTGGTTAACCTTACGCTGGTTTGCAATGCTGTGCCCAGCTGCTTATCTAGCCCCTTTACTATGACGACAAACTTATGGTCCTCCCTTATGGACCAGGAGGTCCCGAGATGGACAGACCAAGCCGACGTGAGGATAACAAGTCACTTCAAGTGGGAAGGGCTCACCCGCAGTGAGGTGAGCTCCCAGATGCAGCACTTGTCACTACCAGACAAGTCTTTTCCTGAGATGAGTCCGGCCACAATACAGGCTTTGGGACTTCAAAATATGTCTTTCAACTTTTGTTTTGTAGTATTATTTTGCCTTGAACTCCTAGGCGTAAGTGATTTTCTTGCTTCAGCCTCTGGACTGGCTGGCAATACACACTCCCAGCTCAACAGCAAGATTCAATGCTCCCTATGACTATGCTGTCTAGAAATCCTGTAGCAGCTGGGCCTTCGTGGTTCATGTCTTTAATCCCAGGACTCAGGAGGCAGGGGGAGCACTGTTTGAGGGCAGTCTGGTCTACACAGCAAGTTCCAGGCTAGGCCAGCCAGAGCTATACAGTGAGACCCTGTCTAACAGCAAAACAAAACCAAAAAAGCTTGTAGCATCCAGAGTCCAGAGAAAAAAAAATCAAAGTATATTTATTTTAAATTGTGTGTATGGGTGCAGACATGCAGACTGGATACCCTGGAGTTACGGCATTGTGCACTATTTGATAAGGAGAGGTCGCTGGAAACTGTTCGGGTCCCCTGGAAGAGTAAGCCCTATCAACCACTACGCCATCTCTCCAGCCCCTCAAGCAAAGTGTTTGAAAAGGAAATGGAAGCAATGAGTCTGTGTAAATAAAATGGTGGGAAGAGGACCTAACGTGAGATTACAGAGGATGAAGATTTCCAGGAAGTGCTTCCAAAACTGGACAGGTGGCTAAATATCGCTGTATTTCCATCAGGTATGGTGATGTACACCTGAAATCCCAGTGTTTGGGAAGACTAAACAGAAGGGTCAGAAATTCAAGGTCATCTCCAGCTACGTAGTAAGTTTAACCACACAAAGCTCTTTCCCCTCTCTCCATCTGCTGGGATGATGGAGGGATGAATGGTCAATGTCAGTACACTCTGATGGACCGCCTAGAGTCAGCATGAAATGGGGATCACTGACTTCAGTGGGACAGGATCCTGGATAATACATAGAATCTCTACAGTCTGAAACTCACCCCTTACCCCACACCCCTGCTTGCTTCTTGCTTCCTGTGGACCTCTCCTTAGACAGATGTGGAAATCCTTTGAAAAAAGAGGACGGATGCAGGCCTAAAATAGAGTGGTTTGTTGTTTTTTGAGTCAGATCTCATGGAACCCAGCTCGGCCTCAAACCGCCTCTGCAGGCTTGTCTCCCTGGTCCTCCTGCCTCTGAGGCCTGAGTGCTGGGATTGTGGCCAACACACCTGGCTTAGATGGTGCTGGGTGGGAATCAAACCTAGGGACTTGATACCGTGCTAGGCAAGCCCAGTATAAACTGAGCTATATCCCCAGTGCCCCTCCCCTGTTTGTGAGACAGTGTCTCAATATGTAGCCCTGGCTGTCCTGGAATTATTTATGTAGAGCAGGCTGTCCTCAAACTCGCAGAGATCCATCAAGCTCTGCCTCCTGAGTGCTGGGATTAAAGGTGTGCACCACCACACTCCCCTCCCCTTTTGACTGGACTACTACAGTCTCCTGTAGTCCAGACTGATCTGGACTAACTATATGGGAAGGTGATGGAGAGCCCGATTCTCCTCTCTCACCTTACAAGATCACACATATGTGTGCATATGGCCAGCTCTTTTTCTCTTTTCTTTTCCTTTTCAAGACAGGGTATCACTGCAGCCCAGGCTGACCCTGGACTCACCTCAATCCTCCTGCCTCAGCCTCATGAATACTGGGATCACAGGCATGTGTTGCCACAGTTGGTTTAAGTGAAGAAACCCTGGGCTTCGGGCATGCCAAGTAAGCACTACCAACTGAGCCACATCCCCAGCCCAGGCCGCAATCACTGACCAAGCTTGAGGCTGCTGTCTCTCCTCCCCGGAGAAGAGCTCCAGCAGTGGTAGCTTTGAGAAAGAAACCAGCTCTGCTTACCCACCAAGCTATGAAAAACCTTTATTGTTAGTTTTTCTCCATTAGATAGACTTTCAGTTAGAACAAGAAGCTACGGTGACACTTGCACTGTTCTTCTCGGAGGCTGAGCCTGGCCATGGCTCAGTTGGGAGCTGAGAACCACTGCTAGGATAGAGCATATGCCAACACCAGGGCTCGCCTCCCGGGAGTCACAGGAACCAACTGAGGCAGGGAACACCTGACTTTAGATGTAATCACCCGAGTGCGGAGAGACCGAAAAACCCCATCTCTGCCCAGGGCCTCACTCAGGCCATGCCGAGCTGGCAGAGCAGGCATGTGTCTGTAGGTGTGTGAACTCATACTGTGCCCGCACACACACACTGTTGCTCTTCAGGAACGATGCTCTCCTCTCAGGCTCTTGCTGGTCAGGCCGGGGTTGGCGTAGCTGACTCTCCATTGTCCTTGCTTCCTGGAGCTCAATGGCCTTGGCATGTTACTGCCATCTCACAGGCCCAGTGCTGGAGGACAGGGCACTCGAATTCTCCTCCTGGAACAAGGCTGGTTAGTGCAGATCATCTGCTACCAGGGAGGGAGGTGTCCCAGCGCTCGGTCTCAAGGCATGCTGGCCCTGGGCTCCTGCACAATCCCTGAGCCCCAAAAAGGGGAAAAAGGCTCCAAGAGTTTTCTGCCTCATGGTACCCAGGACAAGAAAGGGACACCGGTCATTAACCATTTCCCTAACTCCCAGGGAAGGCGTGGTGGGGGTGGCAGGGGTTGGGGAGATGACCCAGACCCTTCTGCTCATGTGGCCCTCGGGCTGGACCTGTGGGCTAGCCTGTGGCCCACTGTGGGAAAGTCTAGCTGCTATTCCTGGTGGCTTTTCATACATAAGCCATAGGTGGACGTGGGAAGATACAATACATCAGGGGCTCGGGCTCAGGTAAAAGACACCTGTTTCCCAGGGCCTACTGCCCCTGCAATGGACCTGGGAAGCCTGGCTAGGTTGTGCCTGGAGCCAAGCTTGCAGTCTCTGGGGTTCTGGGAGTGAAACTGGGGTATATCTGATTAGGTTCAAGGCTCTGGTAAAGACCCCTCATAATCTTCAGGATCTGGTGATGCCAAAATCTGAGATAGTGGGACACAGGGCCTGACAAAGAGGATGGAGCTGCTAGCCAGCATTCTGGAGAAGTCTGCACAACCCATTCTCGCCCCAGGAAACTGGCTGGCTGCCAACTCTTAGGATTGCATACATAAATCCTGCCTCCTGGTCACCCCTGAGCTCTGGGCTGCTGGCTCACGACAACACAAAGCTCCTTAGGGGCCCTGTTTTTCAGCTGTGGACCCTGCTCAGGGTCCCTAGGGTCCCTTCGCTGGTGGAGGCAGGTGTGGTCATTAAAGCACATGCAATCTCCAGGTATACCCTCAGGCCTCAAATAAGCAGCAGAGTGGAAGTCAGGCCATGGCAACGGGAGTTAGGGGTGAGCCAATGGGAAACAAAACCCACACACTGAATGCCAGTCAAATCCAAACACCAACCCAGTATGTGAAGGCAGCAGCAAGCTCTTTGTGTAATAAATATTGCAAAGCTCATTTGTTTTCTTTCTTCTTCTTCTTCTTTTTTTTTTTTTAAGTCAAATATAACAATCAATATCCCAAACCCTGTTTTCTGCATTCAGAACAGAGGAAGTTGATGATAGGAGCAGAACACCTGCAGCCAATCAAAGAAAAGACCACGTTCCCACTAGCCAGCCAATCACAATCTTTCTCCAGTTTAAGCAGCCAATTGGGCCTCTTCACATTCCTAAGAAAACGACCTAAATAAAGCACCAGAGCTCGGAGAGCTTCAGGGGGGAAGCCAGATACCGAGGCGCAAATTTTTAAAAAAATAAAGAGTCAAAAATAAAAATAAAAGGTTTCCGTTGGTCAAGATTTAAAAATAAAAAGGTTTCTTCCTGCAGCCAATCACAAGTCCATCCCTTCAAACCAATCACAAGCCACCACTGGCATCTCCCTTGATGCCAGCCCTGCTGAGTGGCTGGGGTGGGGAGGGTCTGGTGGGCGAGGGGGCAGAGAGAGGGAAGAAGGTGGTTTGCTACCACTCAACCGGCGAAGGAGCCACGCCGATCTCTTGGCCATCGGTGGCTTCCGGGGTGTTCCAAGGGGTTTTCAGCTACTGCCTCCGGTCTTCTGTCTCCGACCTAGAAAACGCCATTACCACGTCCTCTGCACCTGCAGACCAGGGGACAAGAATTGCTGATGGCTTCTGGTACGAAGGCAAGGCTGTGCTCACCCTTGGGGCTGTGGAGCACCGCCCCGCATCTTCCCGAAGCCCTGGCATAATGATGCTGATTGCCAAGTGAGTCAAAGGGGCCAGGGGTGTAAGTTGCTGGGCGCTTGTCTTGTATGCACCCCCACCCCCAGGGGGTTTCGGCTCTAGCACCGCATGAACCGGCGGATGTTACATGCCTCGGTCCCCTCTCAGGATGTGAAAGCAAGGGATCAGAAGTTCGGAGTCACCCTTGGCTACACGGTGAGTTCAGGGCCAGCTGAGGCATGTGACGTCTAACTAAGCCCATCTTCTCTCTTGTCTTCCTACAGCGAAGCTGGGGACATAGCAGTGATCCCATCCTGGTGCAAGGCTTCAGGATGAGGCCCAAAGGCTTGTCCAAGGCCACAGGGCTAAAAGGTGAGACAGGTCTTTGATCCTAGAACATCTGCTCTGCTCATGTTCTATGAGCACCACATTAGGATGGAAAGTAGTGGGAACCTCTCTCTCTTATCAAGTTTAGATCTTGGAGCTGGAGAGATGGCTCATTAAGAGCACCCTTCCAGAGGTCCTGAGTTCAATTCCCAGCAACCACAAGGTGGCTCACAACCATCTATAGTGAGCTCTGATGCCCCCTTTTGGTGGGCAGGAAGAATGCTGTGTAAATAATAAATAAATAAATAAATAAATCAAAAATTTTTTAAAATATTTATTTATTCATTATGTATACATTCTTCATGTGCACCTGCATCAGATCTCATTATAGATGGTTGTGAGCCACCATGTGGTTGCTGGGAACTGAACTCAGGACCTTTGGAAGAACAGTCAGTGCTCCTAACCTCTGAGCCATCTCTCCAGCCCCCAAAATAAATAAATCTTTAAAAAAAAAAAAAAAAAAAAAGAGTAGTTGTTGCTCTTTCAGAAAACCTAGAATCAGCTCCCAGAACCTACAAGCTGGCTCACAACCATCTATAACCCTAGTTCCAAGGGATCTAACACTCTCTTCTGACCTCCATGGGTACCACAGGCCAACTAACACACACACACACACACACACACACACACACACACACACACACACATACACTGTTTCTTTTGAGACAGGGTTTTCTTGTGTAACAGCCCTGGCTTTTCTGGAACTCGCTCTGTAGAGCAGGCTGGCCTCAAACTCAAGAGATCCGCCAGTCTCTGCCTCCTGAGTGCTGGGATTAAAGCCAAGTGGCACCATGCCTGAAGCTCATAGTCATTTTTTATTGAAAATCAAATAATTGAGAAAGTGTTTATTATTGTCTTTTATGGGAGCAACACACCAGTGCATGTGTGGAAAGGTCACGTGACAACCCTATGGAGTTGGTTCTTTCCTTCTTCCTTTACATTGGCTCTGGAGATCAAATTCCGGGGGTCAAGCTTGGTGACAAGCACTTTTACACACCGAGCCAGCCATTATGAATTCAGAAACTGTTCATCTTTGCAGCAGCTTCCCTTTGATCGAACCCAGCCCCTGTTCTGAGGAGCGTGGCCATGCCTGTTTCCAGCTTGCTGCGTGCCAGGCTTGACACAAATGCACAATGCCCATTCCCTATGGTTTTTCTTTTCTTTTCTTTTCTTTTTTTGGAGGGGGGGGGTGAGGGACAGATTTCTCTGTATAGCCCTGGCTGTCCTTTGTAGACCAGGCTGGCCTTGAACTCACAGAAATCCACTTGCCTCTGCCACCAGAATGCTGGGATTAAAGGCGTGTGCTACCCCCACCCAGCTTCTTATGGCTTTTCTTAATCCTGAATTTCTTAATCCTGAATTTGAGATTCTAGTCTAGCCACTCATGAAATAACTCCCTTTATCTTGTTTTCCCTAAAACAGGCTCTGACATTTGGCCAGAAGTGGAAAGGGAAGGAGGAAAGGAGCTGAGAATGCTAACCTACTCAAGCTGTCCCCTAGTCCCACTGTCTGTCCACCTTTTCTAAAGGGTGGCCCAGCATTTTCCCTACACAGTAACAGTCAGGCCGCCTGTGGCCTTCCTGGCATGCTTCCCTGCTGCACTATTGGAGGCTGTCTCCCTGGAAGAGGCAGGTGGAACAGCAGGGAAGGGAAAGGCCACCATGGATTGGGCTGGGTGGGGGTGGGGTGCAACATGGCTTCTGGCACTTGGACCAGAGTCAACACAGTGTTGGCCACCCCTGTCCGAACCACAGGGAGGGCTTCCTGCACACCTTGCTGCCTGGAGGAGCCAGAAGGTAGCTCAGGTGGTGCTGCAGAAGGGGGGAGGGCCCCATATGAACACGTGACATCCAGAAGTCCTGCCTTCACAATGGAGCAAAGGGAATCTATCTCCCGCCCCTGCCCTGTTCTGCCTCTGGGATTCTGTACTCATCAGCATTCTTGGAAAGAAAGACAAGCCTCCAGAAAGGAGCAGAGCTATCAGGCTTCTTGCTTGAGAAGTCCTACAAATCCTTTCTGTGTGCTCAGAAACATTCTGTTCTCGCTCCGGTCCTGGGACCAAGCACCATCACCGCAGGCAGGATTGTCGCAGCAACCAGACTCCAGGATTACGTCATACCCTGCATGGTGGCTGAGCTGGGAACTAACAGATGCTGGGTTCTCTGAGGGCTACCCTCTGGCTTGCTAGGCCTGAGGGGGTCGAAACCAGACTGTGCCGGGGAGGTGTCAGCAGAAGATGGTAATGAATGGTTCTGTGGTAATGAATGGTGACAACCCAGTCTCTTCCCTCCTCATGTGCCTCCTGGGCTTCCTCACAGGGACCTTGGGCCTCTTCGGAGAGCTGCAGGCACAAAAATAGCACTGGATCCCCAAGAGGGAATGGTGAGCTTGCAGAGGAAATGGATCCCCAGCTCCTTAAAGCAACTCAAATCCCCGTCACTGGGCCCCGCAGACTGCGCAGTGGGTGCATGTCCTGTCCTATGAAGACAGGAACTGTGCTGGCCGGTGTTACGTCAACCTGACTCACGCTGAAGTTATCTGAAAGAACCGCAATTGAGAAAATGTCTCTACTAAGACTGTAGGAAACGCTGTGGGGCGTTTTCTTAATAAGTGATTGATGGGGAGGGTCCTGTCTATTGTGGGTGGGGCCATCCCTGGGCTTGTGGTCCTGGGTTCTGTAAAAAAGCAGGCTGAGTAAGCCATGAGGAGTGAGCCAGTAAGCAGCACCTCTCACGGCCTCTGCCTCAGCTCCTGCCTCCAGGCTCCTGCCCTACTTGAGTCCCTGCTCTCACTGCTTTTGATGATGAACAGTGATCTGGAGCTGTGGGTGAGACAAACCCTTTCCTCCCAGGTTGCTTTGGTCCTGGTGTGTCATAATAGCAATGATAAACACTAACCAGGACAGTGACCTTCTCAAGGTCACAAGTTACTCTGATAAGTGTGTAACAAGACACTAGAGCAAAAGCTTTGTGAGAATTTTACCCTCCCACAGTACCAGCTGGTCATGTCCTCCCTGACTGGGAACCCACGGGCCTTATTTCAGAGCCTCTGTTCTGTTGAGGGGGCTGCAGAAGGAGTCCCCAGAGGCACAACCCATCCTGCACCCTCTCCTGCTCCTGAAGGACTTGCTGACCACGAGGACCTTCCTTCCTTTGAAGTCAAAGAGAAGACAGCGCATCCTCTGACCTGTCCATGTCACTAGTGGGCCAGGTACTCATCATTCAGTTGGAAACTGAGGAGCAACCTGCCTTCTCTGGAATCTGATCTTTTTGATCAGCAAACAAGAAGGAAGGGGGAGATGCTCAGTTTGACATCATGGCTCTAGCCACATTGTGGCTAGAAGGGGCACCGCAGATCCTGCAGGCACTCTCTTCCTCCTATACGTGCTCATCCTCTACCTCCAGGCCAGCAATCCATCTTATGGGTAAGGCTCTGTCTTCCCAGGACTTGCGCTCAGAGCATCTGTTCACTGCTTTCCATCAGATGAATGTGAGCCAAGGTAGACAGAGCTACTCAGGTGCTCTAACATCTTCTCTAACAACCTGAACAATAAGACTACTGAAGCCAGATAATTCACACATATGAGCACACACGCACATGTGCACACGGGATCACAAATGTGAACCTCCTATGAACACAGACAAACATGCTCAACAAAATGCTAACAAACTGCGTAGAGCAACATATAAAAAGAGACCATATTTCTAGACCAAATGAGATTTATTCTAGGAATGCAAGGTTAGCTTAACATCTGAAAATCAGTTGGTGTAACATGGTCTATAAACAGAACAAAGGGCAAAACCCACACAATCCCCTTAATAGACACTGACAGAGTCCAACATCCCTAACGATAGAAGAAGCATCAGACAGGATAAGAGGCACCCATGAGAGCCCCACAGCTGCCACCATATCACATGGCTAAAGCCCACCGCAGCACGATGGATGGGAGCAAGAAAAGGTCTGTCTGCTCTCACCATTTCTACTGAAAGTGATTTTTGTTTTGCTCTGGACATTAGAGACAGGGTCTCTTGTAGCCCAGACTTGCCTCTGACTGATAAGCCTGTTGCCTGATCTCCACTGGTATTGTCATTTCAGGCATGTGACACCACACCTGGCTTCTCTAGATTGTTCTCAAGTTTCATTCCTGGGCAATTAGGCAAAAATAAATAATGAAATAAGTAGCATGCACGTTAGAAAGAAGGAACTAAACCATGGATGCTATAATCCTGACACAGACTGCAATTTCTACTTACTAAAAAGCTATCAGAGCTAGTAAATATGAGAAAGGTGTGGGATATAAGACCATGTGCAATTCTATCTGCATATACTAGCAATGAACAATCTGAGAATGAAATAATTTCATTGACAGTATCATTCATCAATGATACTACATTTAGGAACAATTTTTTAAAAAAGATTTATCATTCATTTTATGTGTGTGAGTGCTCTATCTGCATGTACATCTGCACGCCAGGAGAGGGCATCAGATTCCAGTATAGACGGTTGTGAGCCACCATGTGGTTGCTGG